CAGAGATCCGATGTAGTTTTTTTTTTTTTCTTTTCTTTTGTTACGGGGTCTCCAGAAGTCTCGACCCATTCCCCAGGGCCCGTTTCTCATCCCGAGTCGTTCTTTGAGGGCCCTGGGGCCAGTCGAGGGCCCCCAAAGGCCGAACACTGCAATAAACCGGCTCCTTTCGATTTTTCAAGGCGTTGGATCTCCGAGGAGTCCCCCTAACGGTGTGGCGACCGCACCGCGTGGCGAGCCAGCGGGGATCAGGGGTGTCCGCGCGGTCTTGGGGCTCGCGCCCGTGCTCCGAGGACGCCTCGGGCGACCGAGGCCTCCGGGGTCCCAAGGACCGCGCGGTGGCGGACTGCGCGGTGAGGTCGCTGGGGATTCCGAGGTCACCACGCGGTCCTCCTCCTCCGCCTCCTCCTCCTCCTCCTCCTCCTCCTCCCTTGGGCCACCAGAGCCACCCTGTCTCCCCTCCTCTGCCACCCCCTCCCTAAGTTACTGCCAGCCCCTCCCCTCTCTGTCTTGGGGGCCCCGAGTCATGAGGTCGACTACACGTCAGAGTGACCTTTCGCCGGAGTGACCTTTGGTGCTGGCCCATCGGTTTCCCCCGATCGCCGAACGCGATGCGACAGTAGCGCCCTTCACGCTTGTGTTTGGTCCCCCCGCGGCCTTCAGAAAGCCGCGCACCAAAGGTCACTCTTACCCAGGGTCACTCTTGCGTGCAGCCGATGAGGGCGTTCTTCGTGAGGGCCCGGCTGGTAGTCGCGATGCCGTGCGGTAGGGGTTCAATTGGGCTGTCACATGTTCAGGATTCGCCCCAAGCCCCTTAAGGAAGGCGTGGGCACAAAACAACTCTGGGGCCCCGAATCCTTTCGGCTCCCGAAGCAGGTTTTTTTGCACGACAGCCACAGGTGCGCTTCTCGTATTCTGCGGTGTCGGGCCGTCCGTCGGCCGGCGGGTGGCGGCGTCGAGGGCGGCGGGGACGGCTGCAGGAAGCGCCGTGGCTGTGGCCATGGCTGCAGTTGGAAACCCTGCCTCCCGTGAGCTGCAGCTTCGAGTGCGGAGCGGTCGTCGTGTCGGCCGCCAGAACCGCCGGGCTGCTGGCCCTTCGGGCGTTGCGCAGTGGAGGGGCGATCACTGGGGGAGGTGAAGAACTCGATGGCGAGACCCGAGCACTACCCTCGCCGATCCACGGTTCAGGCAAGTCGATGGGCGGCGGGGACAGGGTTCAGAATTCGTCGAACACGCGGCGGCATCCGAGCCCTGCGTCCGCCAGGGCCTCCCGTCGATGCAGCAGAACCGATGGTTAGTGGGGACAGGGTTCGGATGTCGCCACCCACGGAGGGTACACTTTTCGTGCACCTTGGGTGCCTCAAAGGGGCGCCCAACAGGGCCAGGAAAGGTGAACGTTTCTTCGCACCCCCACCCCCTCATCTGCGGTCGGGAACTTTGGCTCAGCGTGTCGCTTCGCTGGTATTGGCCTACCGCGCTTCGGCGCGACGCACTATCTACGTCGCGGTCCCCCTTCGTCAACGTCCACAGCCTTTTCCAGCCTCCCGCCCTGCGGAGCGGAGCGACATGCTATCCGCTCCCAGGCAGAGCGTGTCGCTGGAGCCGCCACCGTGACCCGCTAAGCAAAAGTTCCCGACCGTATCGCCTCCCCCCCAATGGGCGACGCCCAAGCCCTCTCGGCTGCGTGCACTCCTCGTCGTCCCAGCCCGGGGCCCGAGTGCCGCGGGGCTGGGATCGACCATTGTGCCTCCGAGGGCCGGAGCAGCTCCACAACTTCGGCCTGCCCATGATCGGCACGACTGGGCGGGATGGGGGGGTGTCTCGAGAGTCGGGTCGGTGAGGAGGAGGAGGAGGAGGAGGAGGCGGAGGAGGAGGAGGCCGAGCAGGAGGAGGAGGAGGAGGAGCCAGGAGGAGGAGGAGGAGGAGCAGGAGGAGGGGAGGAGAGGAGGAGGAGGAGGAGGAGGAGGAGTGAGGAGGAGGAAGGAGGAGGAGGAGGAGGGAGGAGGAGGAGGATGAAAGAAGGGGGGCGGGCAGGAGGGAGGAGGGAGGAGGGAGGAGGGGAGGAGGGAGCAGGCCGGAGGGAGGAGGTGAGGCTGGAGGAGGAGGAGGGAGGAGGGAGGAGGGAGGAGGGAGGAAGGAGGAGGATTCGGAGGATTCGGAGGAGGAGGATGGTTCGGAGGAGGAGGAGGAGGGCCAGTCTAGGCCCAAGAAGCATCAACGATATTGGAATACACACCCCCTTCAAGCACCCTCATAGGCCCCCACAACGGTTCATTTTTACAAAGGGAACTGCCTCGTTGGAAGACAACGGTTTGAAGACCCTGAAGCATGCCAAGACAGTTTCCTCGGGATTCCAGCGCCACGGGTCAATCTGACTGTTGCGTCTTGACGATCCTGGATCGTGCCAGAACGCCATTCCTGGGAGTTGAACGCCGCGAATCAACATAATTTGTGCACCCTCATAAGCCTGAATCCTTCCAAGACGCTATTTCTGGTACATTGATCGTGGGAGTCCATGAAGCTCTTGCCGCGTTTTAGAGGGAATGTGCGCGGCGCTACGGCGAGAGCCACATTCTGAAAACGACCCGCCCTCAATCTGTGAACCTTTTACAACGTTTTAAGACGAATGTGCGCGGCGCTACGGCGAGAGCCACATTTTGAAAACGACTCGCCCTCAACCCGTGCAACTCTTGCAACATTTTAAGACGAATATGCGCGGCGCTAAGGCGAGAGCCACATTCTGAAAACGACTCGCCCTCAATCTGTGAACTCTTGCAACTTGTTAAGACGAGTGTGCACGGCGCTATGGCGAGAGCCACATTTTGGAAACCACCCGCCCTCAATCCGTGACACACTTGCATTGTTTAAGACGAATGTTCGCGGCGCTAAGGCGAGAGCGACATTTTGAAAACCACCCGCCCTCAATCCGTGACATTCTTGCAAGTTGTTGAAACGAATGTGCGCGGCGCTGAGGCGAGAGCCACATTTTGAAAACTACCTCCGTTTGCGAAACTGTTGCCAACATTTTAAGCTTCAGAGTCATCAATGGTGAGAAACTCTCAGGCGAAACGCCCGGCCCGCCCTAAAAAACTTGCCTCTGGGTGCAACAGGGAGAAATCATTTATAAGGAGAAGGAAAGGAGGAATGGAGGAGGAGGAGGAGGAGTAGTAGGAGGAGGAGGAGAAGGAGGAGGAGGAGGAGGAGGAGGAGGAGGAGGAGGAGTGAGGAGGAGGGGGAGGAGGAGTGTGCCTTGGGTAAGGCTGTGCGCCGCAGCAGGGGCGGGAGCATGAGCGGGGAGTGGGCAGCGGGAGCAGGAGTGGGATCGGAGGTGCGAGGCGGAGTAGGAACACGAGCCGGCGCCAGAGCAGAAACCGGAGTGGGAGGAGGAGTAGCACGAGAATGACGGAGACGGGACGGATCATCGCGGTGACGGTGGAGAGGGCCATGGTGTGGAGGAGGATGAAGAGGAGACGGAGCATGAAGAGGAAGAGGAGGCCGATCATCGCCAAAAGAGGGTGTGACCTGGCACTCGAGTTTCCTGGGTAACCCAGCACTTGATGAGAGTGGAAATCAAACGGACCTTGAGGGTGAGTCGTATGAGTGAGGCATACGTAGTGCCTATGCAAGTGGACGGCTCGAAGTTCACAGCGCCATCTAATGCAGCGCTAGGATTCAGAGGGACCGCAGCCAGGTTTCTTCAGCACGATTCTTCCACGGAAGTGCTGGGCTACTCGTCACCAACACTTCTGGGATCTAATTTTTGGTTAGAGCCCTCCTCTGGAGCCCCAGGCGTGCCGCATCGGAAGGAGCGGTGATAGGGGGTGGCAGCGGAAAGGGAGGGGGGGAGCACGAGAGCGAGGGAGGGGGAGGTGGAAGAAGAGGACGTGGAGGACCCTCCTCTCCTCCTCAATCTTCTTCTTCTTCTTCTTCTTCTTCACAGCCGTGGGCCCCGGAGGTCTCCACCCCTTGCTGGGGGCCAGCCCTTCCTCCCGAGCGCTTCTTCGACCGTCCGAGGCCCAGGGGCCCCCGGCGGCCCTCTCCGCGGGGGCTCTTCTGGCAAGCCGGGGCTTTTCATAATGCGTCCGCGGAGCGCTGCAGCCGTGGGTGGAGCAGTTCAGTTTTCCATCCTTTCGTTCTCTCCGGGTGGGCGCTCTAGGTTTAAGTCGGGAGTGTCCCTCTTCAGGGGGAGTATTCAAACATAGTGCGATTTTTCTACCATGCTTGATTTTTTGTTGTTTTTTTGTTTTGTGTGTATGTGTGTGGGTATTTTTCATGTTTCACCCAAGATCCGCCTGCAGGGGGACCTGCCCGACCCAACTCCAGGTGGCATTTTTGGAGTCCTGGCTGGCAATGTCCTCGCTTAGGTGGGGGGGCCCGAGGGCTCAAGAGCAGAAGTGCGTCCGCGTCGTGACTTCCTGACGACGCCGCGGGGTGGGGGGGTGGCGCCCCCTGCGCCCCCTTGTGGATCCCCAGATCTCAGCCTGCTTTAGCCGCCTTCCCCCTTCAATCGTCGAGCGCTCTTCCCTCTGCCCTTCTCAGGGGGGCGGGGGTGAGCCCCATCTGCTTCCCGCGCCGTCCTGCTTCATACTTCTGCCCACTCCTTCCGACCGACGGGTGCAGTCAACTCGTACACATTGTTCACCTCGAAAGTTCTTTGATTTTTTTGGGGGGGCAAGATCTTTTCATTTCTAATTGTTCTATCCCGGGCCTTTCCCTGGCCACTAGGGGGCCAGGAACGATTAGAAACGAGTACGATTAGAAATGAACACGATTAGAAATGAACGACGTGCATAGTAAGGATCAAGAGCTTTCCGAGGTCACCCTGGCATCCTTCCCCTTCGGCCCGTCCTGGGCCGCTTTCGCTGCCTGGGCCCCGCTCGCAGTGTGTCGACGCTGCCTTGCAAGGCCCTTGCATCCCTATCGTGCGTCCTCATTCTACGGGTTGACCGTATCGCTGCCCCTGAGCCATGGGGTAGCGGGGCGGGAGCGTCCGAGGGGGGTGCGCTCCGTGGGGCGTGCGCTCCGGGCCACCTCTGGGGGGAGAGGAACTTCACCGCCGCCGCCTGCTTCGACGCGGCCGCGGGCGGGGAGCCCTGGCACGGGCGGCCCCCTCGGCGGCCTGCTGCTGCCGCTGCTGCTGCTGTTGCTGTTGCTGTTGCTGTTGCTGTTGCTGCTGTTGTTGTTGCTGCTGCTGTTGTTGTCGTTGTCGTTGTCGTTGTCGTTGTCGTTGTCGTTGTCGTTGGCTTTGGCGTCGTCATTGTCGTTGTTGATGGTGATGTTGTTGTTGTTGTTGAACATTATTAATTCTAAAGAATAATTATTGTTGGGACCCCTGGTGCACGGCCCCCCTGCGCCGCCTAGGCCCGCTAAGGCCCCCCTTTTAATTTTCATCATTTTCGTGAGGAAGCCTCAGAAAAGAGGGTGTGTACAGGATCCGGCTGTTTTGTTGTAATCCGCTTTCCCTTGCAAAAAAACAATATAAAATGACATTTCTTGTTCTAATATAATCAAATTTCAAGAATCCCTTGCAAAAAATAAGGGAAAGTGGACATTCGCGCGCGCAAGACGAAATCCTTCCAAAAGCTTAGTGTTCGGAGCGATTTTAACATAAAAACATCAAAAAACCAATGGTTTTTCAACAAAAAATGTCAAAATCTCATCCCGCGCGCTCTTGCGGATTCGTAGGAAACCCAACACTTTTTAACATTTCTGTCAAACGGGCTTTTGCGAGCAACTTTTTCGAACTTCTGCGACAACGGTTGCGCACCTGCCAGGGCCATCATCCCTGTCAAATAATACCATGCGGGACACATTCGTTTTTCACGTTACCATGTGATCATGTACCATATTGCATTCAACTGCAACCAGATGTTCGTGGAAGGCTTAACAACTTCTGTGGGTTAACAAGGTTTAACAACTTCTGTGGGTGTACGAACGTAGGCTTAACAACTTCTGTGGGTGTGTACTCCACGCCAGTGTAGTAGCCACGGTCGTCCGCAGGCCACGAAGTGAAGTGTCCGAACGTCATAGGGCGGGAAGCTGGGTGTGGGTGGTGGCGAAGAGTCGTGTGGAGAATTTGTAGAGCTTGCACTGCCCCCCCACAAAGTGGGGTATGCGTGCGTCGCATGAAAAAACCCTCAGCACGGGGTGAAAAACACTGAGCGTTTGGGAAAGTGATTGTGGTGTTGTGTTGTGTTGTTGTGTTGTGGTTGTTGTTTGTGGTTGTTGAAACATATTATTCTAAAGAATAATTAGTGTTGGGCCCCCTGGTGCGCGCCCCCCCTGCGCCGCCTAGGCCGCAGCTACATTTTCATCATTTTCGTGAGGAAGCCTCAGAAAAGAGGGTGTGTACAGGATCCGGTTGTTTTGTTGTAATCCGCTTTCCCTTGCAAAAAACAATAGAAAATGACATTTCTTGTTCTAATATAATCAAATTTCAAGAATCCCTTGCAAAAAATAAGGTAAAGTGGACATTCGCGCGCGCAAGACGAAATCCTTCCAAAACCTTAGTGTTCGCAGCGATTTTAACATAAAAACATCAAAAAACCAATGGTTTTTCAACAAAAAAATGTCAAAATCTCATCCCGCGCGCTCTTGCGGATTCGTAGGAAACCCAACACTTTTTAAACATTTCTGTCAAACGGGCTTTTGCGAGCAACTTTTTCGAACTTCTGCGACAACGGTTGCGCACCTGCCAGGGCCATCATCCCTGTCAAATAATACCATGCGGGACACATTCGTTTTTTCTTCGCGCGCGCACGCCGTCGTCGTCGGCCGCGGGGCCCTGAATAGTAGCCACGGTCGTCCGCATGCCACGAAGTGAAGTGTCCGAACGTCATAGGGCGGGAAGCTGGGTGTGGGTGGTGGCGAAGAGTCGTTTGGAAATTTGGTAGAGCTTGAACCGGCCCCCCCACAAAGTGGGGGTATTGCCCGCCTCCTATGAAAACCCTGGCACTGGTGAGAACGGAGTGTCCCCAGTCTTAAATGATTGTTGTTGTTGTTGTTGTTGTTGTTGTTGTTGTTGTTGTTGTTGTTGGTGTTGTTGTTGTTGAACATTATTTATTCTAAAGAATAATTATTGTTGGGCCCCCTGGTGCGCGCCCCCCCTGCGCCGCCTAGGCCGCAGCTACATTTTCATCTTTTTCGTGAGGAAGCCTCAGAAAAGAGGGTGTGTACAGGATCCGGTTGTTTTGTTGTAATCCGCTTTCCCTTGCAAAAAACATAGAAAATGACATTTCTTGTTCTAATATAATCAAATTTCAAGAATCCCTTGCAAAAAATAAGGTAAAGTGGACATTCGCGCGCGCAAGACGAAATCCTTCCAAAACCTTAGTGTTCGCAGCGATTTTAACATAAAAACATCAAAAAACCAATGGTTTTTCAACAAAAAAATGTCAAAATCTCATCCCGCGCGCTCTTGCGGATTCGTAGGAAACCCAACACTTTTTAAACATTTCTGTCAAACGGGCTTTTGCGAGCAACTTTTTCGAACTTCTGCGACAACGGTTGCGCACCTGCCAGGGCCATCATCCCTGTCAAATAATACCATGCGGGACCATTCGTTTTTTTTCGCGCGCGCACGCCGTCGTCGTCGGCCGCGGGGCCCTGAATAGTAGCCACGGTCGTCCGCATGCCACGAAGTGAAGTGTCCGAACGTCATAGGGCGGGAAGCTGGGTGTGGGTGGTGGCGAAGAGTCGTTTGGAAACTTGGTTAGAGCTTGAACCGGCCCCCCCACAAAGTGGGGGTATTGCCCGCCTCCTATGAAAACCCTGGCACTGGTGAGAACGGAGTGTCCCCACGTGCTAGTAATTCTTGTTGTTGTTGTTGTTGTTGTTGTTGTTGAACATTATTCCTTCTAAAGAATTATTATTGTTGGGACCCCTGGTGCGCGACCTCTGCGCCGCGCCTAGGCCGCAGCTACATTTTCATCTTTTTTTCGCGAAAGCTTCAGAAAAGTGGATGAGCTCCGGATCCGGTTTTTTGTTGACGCTCGTTTTCCCTTGCAAAAAACAATAGAAAATGAAAATTCTTGTTTTTACTTGATCAAATTGCAAGAATCCCTTGCAAAAAATAAGGTAAAGTGGACATTCGTGCGCGCAAGACGAAATCCTTCCAAAACCTTAGGTTTCGTAGCGATTTTAACATAAAAACATCAAAAACCCAATGGTTTTTTAAGAAAAAATTGTCAAAATGTCCTTCCGCGCGCTCTTGCGGATTCATAGGAAACACACCACTTTTTAAACATTTCTGTCAAAAGGGTCTTTGCGTGCTACTTCTTCAGGTGCTTTGAACTTCTCCAACAACGGTTGCGCGCCTGCGAGGGCCACCATCCCTTGCAAAAAATGAGACGAAGTGCACATGCGCGCGGCCGCCGCGCGCGCATGTCGAAATCCTGCCAAACACAATGGGTTTTCAATAATTTCAAGATGCGATGTTCAGAAAACATATGAAAACGCACTACTTTCTCATCCGAAAAATCTCGAAATCCATTCGCGGTCTCTTGATGAATCTTTAAAACCCGAACTGTATAACATCAGTGTAACACATGTACTTCTGTAATCGCATCCCCACGAATTTGCCCCAAAAATGTGACCAACTATCTTGGCACTGCGTACCATCTCACGTGTACCGTGTACCACATCATATGTAACAGATGTGATCAACCTCTGTGGGTGTGTACCCCACGCCAGTGTAGTAGCCAGGGTCGTCCGCACGCCACGAAGTGAAGTGTCCCAACGTCATAGGGCGGGAAGCTGGGTGTGGGTGGTCTCGAAGAGTCGTTGGATATTTGGTAGAGCTTGAACGGCCCCCCCACGAAGTGGGGGTATTGGCTGGTGTCGCAAGAAAACCCTGGCACTGGGGAGAACACTGAGCGTTCGGGTAAAATGATTGTTGTTGTTGTTGTTGTTGTTGTTGTTGTTGTCGTTGTCGTTGTCGTTGTCGTTGTTGTTGTTGTTGTTGTTGTTGACTTCGCATCCCTGAAGAGTAATTATTGTTGATCCCCACCACCAGTGCACATTGTTTTGTTCAATTTAAGTGCCTTTCTCAGGGCTCGCACCTTGTTTTTTATGAAGGAAAGTCTTGAGGCTCAAACTGTGTCCCTGGCCCCCGGGTTACAAAACAACGGCTCCCGCATGGGCCGTCCTCGCAATTTAGCCCGGACCCCCGCTCCCGCCTGAGACTTCCTCGCATGTTATTCAGGAATCGCGCTCTCGCCTGGGACTTCCTCACAATTTACTTAGGAATCGCTCTCTCGGCGCTCTGGAGTCGTGCTCTCGCTGGAGACTTGCTTGCAATTCACTCAGGAACAGCGCCCTTGCGTTTGAATTTCCCATAATTTACTCAAGCGCCGCGCCCCCGACACTCAGGCACCCAGGAGTCGCGCTCACGCTTAGGACTCCCTCACAGATTATGAAGGAATCGGGATCTCGCTGCCCTTCGTGGCCCCGTAGCAGCCCTTCGTGGCCCCCTCGCTGCCCTTCGTGGACCCGTTGCAGCCCTTCGTGGCCCCCTCGTTGCCCTTCGTGGCTCCATTGCAGCCCTTCGTGGCCCCCTCGCTGCCCTTCGTGGCCCCGGTGCAGCCCTTCGTGGTCCCCTCGCTGCCCTTCGTTGCCCCGTTGCAGCCCTTCGTGGCTCCCTCGCTGCCCTTCGTAGCTCCGTTGCACCCCTTCGTGGCCCCCTCGCTGCCCTTCGTGGCCCCGTTGCTGCTCTTCGTGGCCCCCTCACTGCCCTTCGTGGCTCCATTGCAGCCCTTTGTGGCCACCTTGCTGACCTTCGTGGCCCCATTGCAGCCCTTGGTGGCCCCCTCGCTGCCCTCCGTGGCCCCGTTGCAGCCCGTCGTGGCCTCCTCGCTGCCCTTCGTGGCCCTATTCTTATTTATATATTTTTACAGGGCCGGGGATCCCGGAAAAGCGGCACACGGTGCCCCCCCCCCCCCCCCCCCCCCAAACGAATTTCGGCCTCCCCGAGCCTTTGGGGCGCTCCTGCAGAGTGCTCCGTGTCTGTCCTGCCAGTGCGACGCGAAAAAAAAACTCCCACGACGGCCAAAGAGGGCCCCAACACACCCAAAGATCGGCCCAAGACGCCCAATCTGGGCCCAAG